GATGGTGGCGGCGGCAGCGGCGGCGGCAGCGGCAGCGGCAGCGGCGATGATGGTGGCGGCGGCGGCAGCGGGCCCGCCTCGATTTCGTCACTGCTCGTGTGCTCCTCCTCGTCGTACGGTGGCGGGCCGGTGGCTGGCAACTCGGCGAGTGAGGAGGAGGTTGCGCTGCTGACCCACCCCGAGGCGCGGTCGGACCTCTGCGTTGCGCCGGCCCTGGTGGCCGCCTCTTCACCCGACGCCGTGAACACGCCACGCCGTGAACAGGCGCTGCTCGGCCTGCTGCCCCCAGAAGCGCAACGAATTTCTTGTATTCCAACTAGCGCTCGAGAGGACACGTATTCTCAGCTGTAGTCGACCGTATTTCGCTGTATTCACTTTCTCGTACCCCTCGTATTCACTGTTGGTGTCTCCACCACGTAGGTTTGCTGCTGTGCGCGGCGCCGATGCGCGACGACGAGGCCGTCCTCTGTGGGGCGTCGGCCGGCCATGTCCCTGACGCGTCCACAGACATGTCGCGGACGGGCCTGGTTAGGCCGTCCTCGTGCACGGCGCGCTGCGCTACTGCAGCTGCCGCGGCGCCGGCCACAGTTTCGCATTTGGCGAGGCGGCGGCGCCCGAGACGTGGAGGTGGCTCTCCACAACCTTCCGTACCCCTCGCTCCACTCGCCCGCCAGAGGGCTGCTAGAGGGCTGCAGAGCCTTGCTAGACACCTCCCGGTGCTCTCTCGCGGCTTCGACTGCCGCCCTCGCCGCCTCATCTCGGCTTCGCTCGTGTCGCCTCTCGCCCCACGCCTTCCAAAGCTGAGGTTCCTTGGCTTCATGCCTACATCCAGCCGCAGGCCCGGCATCTAAAAGCGGGTCCTCAATGCACACCTGTGGTACACACGCACGGCGTTCTTATTGAGCCCTTCCCGCCCGCAGGGACGCCCCTTCCACCCTCCTCTGGCTCGACCCTCTCCGCCGCCCATCCACGGCGCAGTTCCACCCGGACGCCGTGCGTCGCGAGGTGTGCAGTGACAGACACTGAGAGACGGGCCGTTGGTCCGTCGCCGCGTATACCAGACACGGAGACACAGATGCTCACACCCGCGCGGCTGTATCTCGGCTAGGTCTGGGACGCGCGCGCTCCTCACCCACCGCGCTCCGGGCCTCGCGCTCGACTGCCGCAGGGCTCCTACCTAGGTGCGGAAGCTGGCCGTGGGATTCTCTGCGCTTCGGAGGCAAGCACTGCCTCCGTCCGCGTCGCCGCTCGTCGCCGCCTCGCTGTGGGGGTCAGAAGGCTTCGGCGGCGGCCAGCCCGTCGCGCGCATGCTGCTTCTCGCCGCCGCCGCCTCCGAAGCGGGCGTGCGGCTACGGCTGCTGCTGCCGCGAGGCTGCGAGGCCAAGTGGTTCAAGGGTGTGCTCGCGGAATTGCGTGCCGCCGATGCACGAGGCACTCCTCTCCCCCCCTCCCCCCCCGCCCTCCCTCAGACTCGCAATATTTCACCGCGGGCGCCGGCTTATGGGCACTGGCTTTGACACAACTCACCTCACCTCACCTTAGGCGCTCCTGCCAGCAGCGCGTCGCTCGTGCGCCTCCTCTGCGCAGAGGCGCCGCAGAGCAAGCCGCGGCTCGCCACTGACGTCGCCGCCTTTGCATCATACGCCATTCGCACGCTGCGATCCGGCGCGCCGCTTCAAACGTCCGCTCCGGCGTCCGCACCGTCCGCCGTTTCGGCCGCTGCAGCGCCGGCCGAGGCGAGGGCAGCGCCTCCATCGGCGGGCGCGAGGCCTCGGGAGGAGGGGCGTGGTGCGGCGCCGATAAAGCGCGTCCGCGTTGGCAGCGCTCCTGATCAGGCGGATGGTCGAGCCACTGAGTGAGTGTGTCTGTCTATCAAGATGGGGACCCACATGGCACATGCGAGTAGACGCATTCCTCTCGGTTCCTCGTCGCTCGCGCTGAGAGCCTTGGAGCTTGGTCCCGCTGACCGCGTCTCGCGTCTTGCAGTGTCGACGGCTTTTAAACATTAAACATAAACTCTAAAAACTCAATACAGTGCCGGCCTCCTCCTCCCTGTGCTTGGAGGAAGGTGTGTGTGGGTGGTGCCTGGTGTGCCGCACCAGTGGTGGGGGGTGTTGTTTGGTGTCATGAGAGGCTGGAGCGGCCGCGCACACTGGTCACTGCTCGGCACCCCCCGCACATCTAAAGTCATCCGCGTGCAGCTGGGGGGGCGAAGGGGGGGGGGGGGGGGTCTGACCCCCGGGGGCTAGCCCGGGGGGGCGGAGTCCAGCGCACTGGACGGTGGACCAGAGCCCGCCTCTTCGTCCCGGCTCGCGTGAGCGGTGTCGCTCGAGGCGCGTTGTGTTCACGCACCTTCGAGCCTTACACATCTTTTTCGTGCAGGAGGCGCTTGGCATGCAGGAGCGGGGCACGGTCGCCGCGGATGCCGATGAGGCCGGCGAGGCGCAGCGGCCGCAGGTGGAGCCGCAGCCGCAGCGCAAGCAGCGCCGCCGTCGCATCACGCACAAGCTGCAGTTCAAGCTCAAGCTAGTGCAGCTGGCGCTGGCTAGGCCTCGGGGCCATCGCATAAGGCCAGTCTGCCGTGAGTTCCCAGAAGTGGAGCCGGTGACCCCGACCCCGCCCCGCAGTTGCCCACTTGCCCCCGTCTCCGCGCTTCTCATTTCTGGAAAGTTGCTAACGTGCAATGAGCTTCAGCTGCGTAAATGGATTCGAGCACTCGAGGAGCAGGCGCGGCAGTCGATGGGGGAGTGCGACGAGACCACCCCGCCGAGACCAGCGGTGCCGATCGCGCAGCCCGTGCCGTGTGTGCCGTGCATGCCGACCCGCCCGTACTTCTGGTTTCATGGCATGGTGCCCCTGTCGGTGCTTTCGCCGACGGCCACCCTCACCGGCGCGGCCACCTTCGCTGTGCACTCCTGCGCCGCCTCCATCTCCGCCGCCCCCCCGGTGCCACGCCTGCCATCGCTGCCGATGCTGTTGGGGCCCCGCCGCCATCCGCCGCCGCCTTTCTTGCCTGCGTTGGCGTCCCCAGCGGTCGCCCTGTGGAGGCGGTGCAGGGCATCCTCCCGGCGGGAAAAAGTGATTCGGAGGCCGCGGAGCATCTCCTGCGCATGGCAGGGCCACCAGGCGTTCTCCCAATTTGACAGTCGTGCACGCCATGCATTGTGTACCATTCGATGGCCGTCCTGCGGCCGGCGCGGGGCGCGGTGCACGGGGTAGTAGTACTGATAGACTAGTTAGTATGATAGACAGAGCTGTTAGATACCAACTCTTGTTAGCATAGAGCGACACCGCACCCGACGAATAACTCCGTTGAGGGCCACGCCCCTAGGGTGCTGTGCGGCACACCGGGGGACGCACGCAGACTATTGCCACACACACGACACGTCCAGCGGGACCCTCTTTCGGTGGTTTCGACGTTGCGCGCCGTCAGCGCCAGCGAGGTACGCCCCGTACCGCCCTGCGATCGAGGAGGGCAAGGGAAACATCGTATCAAGATCGTGCTCTCACTGCCTCCTCATCAGGTCCGTCAAAGGCAGGAGGCGCTCGCGAGCTACCGCGCCGACCTCGGCTATGCCGTCGAGGGCACGCGTTTGGGCGACTAGATCTCACACTCGGATCATCCGACCAAGCGGCCTACCAACCAGTCCCTCTCCCGCCTCGTGTAGGTCGAAACTTCCTCGCGCAAGCGATAGAGTCAAAGTGCTACCGCAGAGTGCTGAACCGCACGGCCGCGCATTCCATAATATAGCTCACGTGTGGAGTATGTTCCGATGAGCGATGTGCCGCCCTCATGCGTGAAGTATATGCGGTGTATCTCGCGCTGTCTTCTCAGTCCGTTTTGCGCTTTTGCGGTCGGAAGAACGAGGGCGACCACGTGTGGGGACTCGTGAATGCAGAGAGCAACAGACTCGTGTCCGCACTGTGTGGGATCGCCTGGTGTCCGCGCTGTGTCAGAAGGCTAGTCGCAGGATCAGTGATCGACGGTGGCTGCGGCCGTCGCCGTGTTGTGCTGCGTGTTGTGCTGCCAGCTCGCCCCCAGCATCGCCCCAAATAGTACTTTTAGCTTGAAAAGGGAGAGGGGGTTGTGTTCTCTAGGCCCCTAAGGGCCCTACGCGCGGCGTGAGAGCTCGGAATTCTCTCTCTACCAGTAAGCTAAAAGTACTACTAGAGACATACTCGAGTAGGGTTCTTTGTTTGTGGGTGTGGCTAGGGTGTGGTGCATACTCCATACACTCAAAGCGCATGCCTTTAATAATAAACAAAGTGCAGTAAAAATCCAAAATCCAAATCGCAAAGGAACCCAAAAACACACAGCCACTTGGCATAGGAGAGCAGGAGGTGAAAGGAGGTCAGCACAACTTCCAAGGCGCACTAGCGAGCGATAAGCACAGCAGAGCAGACAGATGACGATTACCACCCAGCGCACGACCGCCAACTCTCCGGCGCAGGCCGCGAAAAACCGAAGTAAAACGATTGTATCCCTGAGCCTCCTTCCGAGCCGTCTGCAACGTACCAATGGGGTGCACTGCCCACACCCACACACATGCCGCCAGAAATGTCCGTCCGTGATGAGCAGAGCAACAGATTTACCACGTGAAAAGCGACTTATGCGGAGAGGCGGTCGTTGCCGTCAGGCTCGTGAATGCTCTTCCACTTGCGAAGCTCCTTCAGGTGTTTATCCCATTCATGAAGCGAGCACGGCAAAACGATCAATACAAGCCAGAGGCAAAAGGTAGGTAACATTTTGTGGCTTGTATTGACGCAAATGGCAGGTGAAATGGATTTAACAGCAAAGGCAACGGAGAAGAGGACAACGTTCCAGAAAACGCGAAGGATACGACCTGCCTGGCAAGGTTGGCAGGTCCTCAGTGCGGGCACCGCCACGGAGGAATGGCAGAGTTGGTAAAAGAATTCGCAAACTATCTCGGCTTATCGGGCACGCACGATCAGCTCATCACCGCGCGTACACCAGCTGCAAATGCTCGCTGTTTCCTTCGCGGCCCTATCCCTTGTCATGCCGGCTCCTAGGGGCGCTGCGTCCCACCGGCTCATCTCGTCAGGGCCGCTGCGCACCGGTTCCTGTGCCACGATGCTTGAGGCGGCGCAGGCGACCCCTTTGCATGGCTTCTTAGCTCTGTCTCGTGTATAAACTTTACTTCCTCCATCGCTCGCACCTGACGGTCTTCGTCCACCCGCCGACAGAAGCAGGCGCTCCTCGACGTGCTCGCCCTTTGGGACGACGATGAGGACGGAGACCCGGTCGAGTGGAAGTTCGACTTCAGCTGCCGCGAGTGGATGGACTGCCTTGTCGAGTGCAAGCAGTTGGGCTCCGCCGGGAGCATGAGGTGCAACACGTTCTCTGGGCGCCAGCAGACGCGAGCTCGCCTGGAGTCCTGTGCCGTGCAGGCAGCCTTGCCCTTGGCTGTGCACATGTGGAGCAGCATCTGCTGCCGACGCGCGGGGCTGTGAGGCGGCGCCAGCACCCAGTGGTCATGCAATCTGAAGAATTCCACAAAGGAAAATGAGCAAGGCCAAGCCGGCATTGCAAGACCCGCTAAGAGCATTGAGAATTACTTCTCTGTCTGCGCCGGGCACGCCAGACTCACACGACCCACCGCCGCCATCGCAGGCACGTCCTCCACAGGCTGCCCGGCGCCACCTGCTGCGCCTGCTGCGCCTGCTGCGCCTGCTGCGCCTTCGAGGCACCACACACACTGCGCTTGCCGCCCGACGTGGGACAAAGGCAGATTAGTGGCAGTGGCGACGGGCGGGGCGGCAGCGGGCAGGGTGGCGAGTGAGACGCTGGAGAGGCGGGGATGGTCGGCAAAGGCATCAACGCCGTCCGTTTGCCGCTCGGCTGGTGGGACGTCCTCCGCCCGCACGAATTGCCGAACCCGGGCAGCGGCGCCGCATGGGGTGAGATGGCGCCGGGCCCAGCTCCCGCCCTCCGCGCCATCCGGCGCCTTCTCGACTGGGCCGAGGCGCCGCTTCCTAGATCCTTCCGAGAGCCATGCAGTACCCTTCTCGAGGGGTGTCAAGCCACGCCGCTTTTGTGCTCGACTGGGCCGGTGGCCGTCCACCCGCCCGGATCCTCATCTGCAGGCGAGGGGGGTCGTCGTGCTCCTCGATTTGCACGGCGCGCCCGGCGGGCAGAATGGGAAGGAGCACTCGGGCTGTGCCGGCCGCGCCGAGTGGCACCGCTACTCGATCGACAATTCGCTCGCCGTGGCGCGCTTGCTAGACGCGGGCGCCGACGCCGCGCTGCGTAGTCACCATGGAACACCCTCCTCGCCTTGTGACCCGCTGCAGTTGCGACGGCTGATGGACGAGGTGGGCGAGCACCCCGCGCTGTGGGGCGTCGAGCTGCTCAACGAGCCCGGCGATCTCAGTTCGGCGCCGCGCGAGGACGAGATGCGGCCACTGCTCATCGAGTACTACGAGGCTGCTTACTCCCTCGTGCGGCGCCGGCGCGCCGACGTCGCGGTCGTTTTTTGCGTCCTCTACTGGTTTGACTTGTGGGGGTGGGTGACGCAGCTGCGCGAGCCGCAGTTCCACAACGTCTTCATCGACCTGCACTTGTACACGGCCTTTGACGGGCTGTCGGAGGCGACGCCAGACGAGACGGTGGTGCAGGCGGCTCGCACCTTTGGCTGCCGCCTCCTGCAGCACGCCCGGCACCATCCAGTGGTCGTCGGCGAGTGGTCCCTTGCCGTCGACGAGATGGGCCTCAAGGTGAGCCAGCGCTTCGTCGACACCCTCTTCGCCTCCTTCGCAGCCGCGTTTGGCCACTTTTTCTGGACGCTGCAGATGGACGCCGCTGCCGACATGGCGGAGCACGACCACCTCGGCGGGCACGTGAAGATCGGACAGTCGCCACAGTGGTCGCTCGTGCAGGCGCTCGACGCGGTCCCGAACCGCCTCCCAGACGGCTCCGCGTCCTCGTACCGCTACCCGGACCTCACACGCCACTTTGGGGGCGACCCGGACGCGCCCACTCTCGCGGCGCTTCGCTCGGCGGCGGCGTCGACGGTGCCGGCGGCGGCGGCGGCGCGTCGAGTGACCCAGCCGCCGCCGCCGCGCCCACCGCTCTCGGACCTCCCGCGCGCTGGAGCGCTCGAACTGCGCGCCGCTTGCCCGTACATCTCGCCGACCGGCTTGGCGCTGCTGTGCGGGGCGGTCGCCATTTCGCTCTCGGTGGCTTGCCTCGGCGCCTTGCGGAGGTGCCGGCGGCGGAGGGGGCGGCGGCTCAGGAGCTCCGCGTCCCTCGCCTCGCTCCGCTCGCTCCGATCGGTGGCGACGCATCGCGGCCCCGTCAAGAGCCCTTCCATCGCCTCGTTCCACTACTCGATCGCCTCGTCCGCGGACCGCCGCAAAGCCAACCACGGCAGCTCCGCGTCCCTCGGTTCGGTGGCGACACACCGCTCGGTCGCTAGCCCCTCGCTCGTGTCCATTCATGCGTACGTCCACTCCACGTCCCCGAACCATCGGGAGCGAGGAGGGAAGGAGAAGTACGTTCGCCTTTTGTCTGATTGAGTCGTGTACGACTCCGCCCCCACGTTAGTAGCGCGATAGTACGGGCCGCGCCGCCGGCGGAGCTCCCTGGGGCGTCGCACTATACGCTTTACCACATAGTCGTCGTGGCTCACGTGATTCCCATTTCAGCACATACCGCGTACTGTCGAGGACTAAAGGGTGTGGGTGTGGATGCTGGGTTGAACAAAATCGAGGGACGCGACCCACTTCGCCACAGACGGTCCCGCGCCTCGCCGCTATGACGGGCACACGCCCCGCACCGTCCGCTGTGTGCCCGTCTTTGTCCGGAGTGAAAAGTCCAACGCGCTCGGCTTCCCTCAACCTGCGCCGCGCTCGGCGAACCTCGACAGCGCTTTCGGTGGCATGCAGCTCTTTGCGACAGAAGCCTGGAGAGCAGCACAGCAGCTCCTCTGCTGCTCACACACTCTGCACAGCTGACACAGCCTACTGTGCGGCTGCCACAGCTGTGACAGCGATGGGCTCGCCCTCACTGGCCCTCAGTCACTTGTGCTGCGGCTTGTGTGAGCGACACTGCTCGGCGACTGCCGGCACACTGTGAGACCATGGGTGTGAGGTAAAACCACGCTACCAGCGCTTGGTCACATCGGCCCCGAGGTCAGATCCATCTACTCTGTTGATGACAAGACTTGTCTACCGGCTGGAGCCGAGCAGGAGGGCCCGGCGCACAACCCCTTGGTCAACTCACCCTCCACACCCCGTAAAGTCTGTACCAGGTTGGTCAGGGTGTGTTCTAACCCCGTAATTTCTGTACCAGGGTCTGTTCTAACCTCCACTCCGATCATTTGCCTCCATGTCATATCGTTGCTCAAGGTCCACTCTCTCTTCGAACACTTGTACTTCAACGGATGATGCTGGCGCTGGGGTCCCCTTCGGGTGCATCGTTACAGCTGACGACGGGATTACCACAGGTGTTCATCCTCCTCGGGTTCGTCTTCCCCGGCTTCCTGCCGTTCGGCTCTACATTCAGTACGTTCGGTGTGGGCTCACCCTCCATGCCGTGAACAGGCGCTTTATCCACCCTTATTCTTCTCTCGCTCGTTCCTCCGCCCGTGCCTTGGTCTTGTCGTTGTTTCGCACCCATGTCTGTATGGCGATCGAGGCTGCCTTCCCCACTACCTGTAGTTCACTCGTCACCTCTCCTGCGAGCTCGCCTCTCTTTCTCTCGGGTATGCAGTCCGCTTTCGCCAGTCCCGTGGATGTTAATCATTACAAGAAACACTGTGCGGCGCCTCCCAAGCCAATGGTGTCTAAGGGTCTCTGGCACTCCTGGATGCATGCACAGTCACAACGGAGTAGCAATGTTCGGAAGTGCCCGAGCCGTCCCGAGCGGTCCCGAGCCGTCCTGAGCCGTCCCGAGCCGTCACGAGCCGTCCCGAGCTGTCCCAACGGCCTAGATGCTAAAATTCGACCGGCGGGGGTCAACAAGACGGTGCAGCACTACCGTGGGCGTGTGGAGCACCTCATTGGCCAGGTAGTGGACAACCGTATGGCTCAAAGCACTACGTGGCGTGGCTCGTTCACCCTGCTTGCCGCGGTCATGAAGATCGCGGCGCACATGGTTGGGCTCCAGGAGCGTATGAAGGGACCTAGGTATGATGTGTTTGGCCCGTGGCCGGTGTGCCCGCCGCACATCGCGGCGCAGTTTCCTTATAGTGCTTTGCTGGTTTTGCTGCTAATCTCATGATAGTTTACCATTTCTTCTCACTGCAGCACCTCCGCGCCGCCCAGCCGTGCAGCCCAGCTAGTCGAACTTCCACTCGAGACTTTGAAGGCCACGCCATCGATGCGCAGGTGTGGCGCGGCGAGACGCGAGCGTCAACGCCGGCCGAGGTCGGCCGAGATGAGCCGAGATGAGCCGAGATGCGCATGGTCGGTGTGGAGTACGAGCTCACGACCTTTGTCGAGCGGCTCGGCGATTCAGGCGCTGAGGCTCTGATCCCAGCAATGGAGGAAGTGTTCGACGCGGTGCTCGGCGAGAGCGACGAGGTTAGACAAGCTAATCTCGCCTCGATCCACACACGCGCACGCACGGAGACGCACGCGCGCGCACGCACACATGAGTGTGCACATGCACATGCACATGCCGACATGCGACTAGGCTTGCACCTCGGTCAAGAAAATGCGGGCCTATCTGAACAAGTGAGACCCGGCGGAGCAAGCTGAGCGGCGGAGCGGTCGTAGAGCAGCCTCGGCCCGCTCGCCGACCAGCACGTGCTGCCAGCAGGCGGGAGCGCACCCCGCCACGCGGCCACTCTCATGTGCGGGGAGGGGAAGGGGAAAGAGAGCGCTGTGGTACGACAAAAAGGTCAACAGTGACAAACACAAACATTTAATAGATAAAATACCACACACGTGAGGTCACGTGCTCTGCTGTGTGGACGAGCTGGCAGCTGCTAGCACACCCTCACCGCACACACCGCCTCACCGGCACCGCCGAGTCCCCGAGGCGCGAGAGAGCTCGAGACGTGCGTGCGCAACAGACAGCTACGAGCTACAGCTAGGAGTTGACTGGGATCGCTGACAAGAGAGGGTACACGTGACTGGAAGGGTGAACTCTGACTGGGGCGGCGCGGCTCCCGTTGGCCGTTGGTACAATTATGTACAGGGGAAGAGAGTACACTTCTGGGGGCCGTGGTCGGGCGGCAGGGGCCGCGTCTCGTAGGCGCGCGCTGCCCACGCGCGACAGGGCCGAGCGCGTCAGGAGAGGCGCTGCCACCCGTTCGCGTCGGCCGGCGCCTGCAGGGCGCATCGTGTGGGTATTCAACACGACGCGGCGTGACGTGACTTCTCATTCTTCAAGGCACCTGGAGCCGGAGGGTGCGGCAGCCGAGCTGCACCGAGCGGAACTTGGCATCCAGCGGCGCCTGCGCGGGATGAGGCCAGGGACACCGGTACGCCTCTCCACAGGGGGCGAGTGCGCGGGGCTAGCCGCCAGCTCGGCACGTCCGGGGACCAGGCGGGAGCCGCACGGCATTCGAGGGGCAACATCTCTCGGCCATGCTCGGTCAATCTCGGCTGTAGCGGCCGATCTCGGCCGATCCGCCCAATCTCGCTGTATTCGCGGCTAATCGATCAAATGTCTCAAGACACACACACACACACACCTCTCGCTCCCTCTGTCTCTCTCTGCCCTGCGGCGCCTCGAGTAGCGCGGCGCGCAGCTCTGCCGGGAGGGGCGGCGGCGGCGGGACGACGGCGGCCGTCTCGGCCATCTCTCGCACGCGCATCTGAAAGTCGACGAAGAGGTGCCTGAGGGGGCACAGCGGGGGAAGGGGGGACTTGGCCCCTCTGTCCTCGCCCGGACGCGTGAGGGGAGAGGGCGGGAGGGGAGAGGGCGGGAGGGGGAGAGGGGAGAGGGCGGGAGGGGAAGAGGGGAGAGGGCAGGAGGGGAGAGGGCGGGAGGGGAGAGGGCAGGAGGGGAGAGGGCGGGAGGGGAGAGGGGGAGAGGGGAGAGGGCGGGAGGGGAGAGGGCGGGAGGGGAGAGGGGGAGAGGGGAGAGGGCGGGAGGGGAGAGGGCGGGAGGGGAGAGGGGGAGAGGGGAGAGGGCGGGAGGGGAGAGGGCACGAGGGGAGAGGGCGGGAGGGGAGAGGGGGAGAGGGGAGAGG